ACAGCCACAGGAATGGGACCCGGAGTTGTAAACAACAGGGAGAAGAAATGCAGGCTGAAGATCCCAGTGCAGATATTAAAGATCTGGGCGTTCTCTGTTACAAGTCAACAGGAGTAGGACGGGACTCCTTAGGAGTCCCGTCCTACTCCTAAGGAGTCCCGTCCCGTCCTACTCCTCCCTTCCTAAGGAGTAGGAAGGGAGGCTGTGGGCGAGTTACCCGGGCAGCGCATTACGTCTGCGGGCTAGGAACAGGCAGGCCAGTTGCTTCCCGGAGGGGTGATACAGAGCGGCAGCCTGACCCAAGATACCTCTAGTCTTAGTTAAGGCATCGTAGAAACTTCACTTTTAGGCAGCACTGTAGTCCCGTATGTCTAATGACCCCTGCTCCTCCCACCAGCTAATTGCTGCTCGGTGTATCTTTAGAAGAATTGAAGGCCTGCGATATGCCTTTGAGCCCAGTAAATCCACGTATTTCATAACTGAGACGTAAAGTGTTAACCCTTCCCGTTGGTCTTGAGGGGTCTTGAAATGCTACCTGGCTTTATAATGCATACAGGATCCTGACCACTGGGTGTAGGGTATATGTGGTGATCTCTTTCAAGTACTGACAGCACAGCCACTCCTCCAGACTCAGCGTCACCTCTGCCTCTGTCAACTTTTCTGCAAACTTCAGCAGCAGCAGTGTCCTCTTAATGTCGATCCAGTTCTGGAGCAAGACGTCTGTCATTGGGTTCCTGGCAAAGAGCTCCTGGCGTGGCCCCCACAGCAAGATCTGCAGAATGCTCTTCGCTTGCTGGAGAGACGCTCTCCTGTGGCGGTCTGGATGAAGAAGCAGGGTGGCCAGCTGCTGGAGCCCTTGCGAATAGATGGACAGGGCTGGGATGGTGGGCAGGTCATCCCACCGGAGCCCTGAAGCCTTCTCCAAGGAGTCGGCTGCATGCAAGATCTCATAGATCAAGAGGACTACTTGGAGCTCATCTGTATTTTGGACCCGATCTGATTCTTGGGTCTGAAGTGCGGGTCTTGTTTTTCGTACAGTTTTGGAGAAATTGCTGATGAGTAACCTTGGAAGTAGCAGCTCCGGGGTCAGATCTCTGTCCTGCTGGCCCTGGGGAGGAGATGGACAGAGCACCAAGAGCAGGTTCTCTGGGCAGATGTTGTAGTGAAGAACTTCTTGCTTCTTGAGATACTCAAGCCCAGCGCACAACTGCAGGAGGAGGAGGCAAGCCAGGCGTTCATAGTGACCAGGGCTAGAGCTGTGCAGATGTTGAGATTTCTTCACAAAATCAGCCAGCGTTTGGAAAGGAATCTCAGGAGAGATGACCACCTGGGCAAGATGAGGTGAGACACTGGGGGAACTACTGGTACATACATCTTCCTCCTGTTCATTAGGACAGAACTGGCTCAGCTTCTGAGGGCTTTTTGCAGGCATGACATCCTTAGGGAGAGAATCGATGAAGTGGCCAAACACCTGCTGAATATTGAAGTGTGCTTCAAGGGAAGTCTGTACGGAGAGACTGCAGGGGTAGCATTTATGGACCTGTCAGGGAAGAAACATCAACATGCCATCAGTAGAGTAGGATGAAGAAAACAAAATCAGAGCTCTCTGCCTTTTCCTCTCTGACCTCTGCTGTTTAGCTGGGCTGATCTCATTGACCTGGGTACTCTTGTTTCTGCAAGTTCGCCTTGCCTGTCACAGGCAGGGAGCATGGTCTAGGGGACGTAGGACTGTGCAGGGAGACAGATGCTAGAAGTCTTACAGGGTCACACCGGCCAGTACAGTAGCACAATCATTTAACATCACTGTGTGACCCCCACTTTGCTGGATGTGGTGGGGGGAGTCTCATTGCAGAATTTAGGGCTAACATGCAGGGTGCCTTGATCAGCTGTTTTTCTCTAATCCAGGGGGAACTTGGTGCATTTACAGCCACTATCTTATTCTCTGAATCCATGGTTAAGCCTCACTGCTAGCTTGATGTATGCAGAACACTGTTAGTTAGTGGAGAGGCAGGTGGCAAGCTGAGATCACTGCTCCTGATCTGCTCATCCATTAGCAAACATACAAACCACTCATTGCGCACATCGCATCTACCAAAGCCTTGCTTTTTGCTACAGTCACTCCATGCATCCTCCCCGACCCCACAGATCTGCTTCCTCTCCCTGTTACATTTCACCTGGTTAAGCCTGGAAGCTCTTTGGAGCCTGAGCAGTGTCTCATTAGCAGTTCATAGAGCACCTGGCACCCTTGAGATATTACTGCAATTATTAATAAAGGAAGACAAAGCCCTGGCTGGAACAATAGGTTCCAGAAACCCTGAAGATGGAGTGTGGTAGAGACCACAATGCTGACTACAGTAATAGAGAGAGGGTTGGACTAGATGTGACCTCCTGAGGTCCTTTCAACCCTAATTTTCTAAGATAATATGGAAGATGATGCAGCACACTCCCTGCTGCAGCCCTTGCTAATAGCATGAAGATGGGAAGCAACTTTGCCTATAGTACATTGCTAGGTTTCCTGCCCCTTCCTCTGAAGCATCTGCTGTTGGCAACTCTTGGAGACAAGATGCAAGACCAGATGGTCCACATGCAGAATCCAGTCCAGCAACTCCTACTGGCCAACCAGGCTACAGATCTGCAGAGCTCTCTGCCTTTTCCTCTCTGACCTCTGCTGTTTAGCTGGGCTGATCTCATTGACCAAGTCCTGGGTGCTCTTGTTTCTGCAAGTTCACCTTCCCTGTCACAGGCAGGGAGAACGGTCTAGGGGACATGGGACTATGCAGGGAGACGAGGCCTGGGCTGAATCTCTTTCCCGTGCTCCACTTACCTTCAAGTGGACGTTAGAGAATAAGGGCACGTCCATGCCTTTAGAAAGTGCTTTGAAATCTGTGAGCCCTTCCTCTCCTTCACTCCCAAACTGCCACCAAGTACTGTTACTCCAAGCTGCTACTGCAGTTCTTCCCTCCAGACTGTGAGCGGTACTGAGTGCCCCAGGTACTATTGTACCAGGTTGCTAGCGGATGGAAGTACCACCGAGTGCTCCTGCAACCCAGCAGGCCTGGAGGGGGCAGGTTATTATGCCCGATGCCCAGAAGTGGCCACAGATTTTTCCAGGGAGCTCTATGCCCTGAAACCTGGCTCATGGTCTGCAGGGTTCATGTGATCTGCAGCTCCTCTCAGCTCACTGCAGGGCCACTCAGCAAGCATAAGGCCCAACCTTGGTGTCAATCTGTGCTCTGCCTTTGGGCGTCCCGGCTGATAATTGCTGAGGCTGGTACAGATCTGGGTGTTAGAGGTGGGAGGGGATTTTTCCAGAGCTGGATTAGCCTGTCTCTGCTGTGAAGCCCACAATTTTTACTCTTCAAGGACTGTCTTCAGCTCGTTGATGGCCAAGAACAACAGGCTGTACTCACAGCACTGCTCCGTGGTTGGCACTGCAGGGTTTGCCAACATGCGTGTGACCATCTTGCCCTCTAGCGGCTGTAGCCTGTAAGGTGTAAGGCAGTGAAAGAGCAGGTAGAAGAAGAGGGCAAGGATAAAAGGAGGAGAGATGAAGGTGAGGGGGAGAGAGAAGAGGAGCTGGAAACGGGAAGATGAAGAAAGCAACAGGGTCTAAAACGGAGGATGGGGAAAGTTCCCACCGATGCCCCGTGCCTGTGATTGTTCCATGGGTCCCTGGTTTATTTGTAAAATGCCCATGTTTCTCTTTGCAAACAAGCTGGGTGGCTGATGGGAGTGGGGCTGGTGGTACATGAATACCACCAGGACTACAACTTGGCTGCAGCAAATGGAGAACTCTAGTTTTTAACCACACGTGGGCTCTATGGATGTAGCAGGGCTCTGCCCTGGCACAGAGGCACATCAGCCAGGGGGACACTGGCATTTCACTGGGACTGCTTTGAATAAGACGCCAAAAGTGCAGCGCTGGGAAAGGTTTGCAGGGACCTGGAGGACTGTGCAGTTTGGGAATTTGGCCATGGGCCTTTTCAGTACTGGTGCAGCAGGTCATCCCCACCCAAGGTCAAATCCCTGCAGGACCTGATCCTTCAGCCCCCACTGTCTAAGCACTCTGTGGGCTGCTGCAGAAATTCGGGGTCCTTTCCCTTGCTTTTGTACTTACCTTGGCAGCAAAGACCTGCTGGGCACAGCAGATGCGGTAATACCAAGCGTCTCCTGTTTCACAACATGGCTCCTTGTCCAGCAGCTTGAAATCTGCCCACTTCTTTCCTGCAAGTTGTGTTCCTACCAGCTGCTGCTCCTCCTCCTTCCCTACCAGGATCTCCTGTACCCGTGTGGTGAGATGGGTCAAAGACACAAGCTGGCGCCCCATCACTTTCTCGTAGACAGTTGCTTGGTTCTCCAGGTCCTTGAAGAAAGAGAGGAGCTCCCTATCGGGTGTAGTAAAGGTCAGGTGCTCTAGGTGACTATTCCTGAGAAAAGGGTCAGGGTGGGTTTTATTCAGCCTCCCCCAGAGCTGAGGTTCACCCATGCTTTGGGACTTGGACAAGTATCTTTTAGGATGACTTGGAGGTCTAGACTGGCTGGAGCTGAGAGGCTTCTCCTTGTTCAGGAGAGTGCTGGAGTAGCAATATCCCCCACTTCTGCCAGTCACGGCACTGCTGACGTACTGCAGAGTATGGGAGGAGGCACCTCTGCCTGGGCAGTTATGAGAGGGCACCCTCTCGGGCAACGAGCTGGTTCTGCTAAGCTTTTTTGGCAGGGGTGGAGGCAATGAGCCAGAGCTGGTGTCAGAAGGGAGCCTCCCAGGCGAGCTCCCTCGGCAGACTTTGTTTGGTACCAGGTGTGCTCGGATCTCTCCTGCAAGGGAAGGCAACAGAGATAACTGTGACACTTGTGCTAGGGACCCTTTGTCCTCCAGATGTTTGACAGGTGCCCCGAGAGTTGACGGGGACCTGCTCTGTGCAGTTCCCAGCTGCATCTCCCTCCATCCTTACTCATCCTCATTGCCCCATCCAACCCCCTCCCCACTGCCTTCTCATATGCACGCAGGGAATCGAGAGCCGGGACTGACTTCTCAGGGGAGGCAGTGGAACGAGGAGCCAGGAACAGGGGCATTTGCAGAGAGGACTGCGAGGCGGTGCACCCTGGGCAGACACTTCACTGGAGAGTGGAGATGAGCTCAGGGTGTCCTTGTTGATGTCCACTCAACTGGGCCTAGATGCAGTGGGGATGAGCCCTGTACACCCTGGGCTTAACTTTCCCCATGGCTGTCCCATTGACCGTGGACAGAAGCACCAATGCATGGGCACAAGTTGGAACCACATCAGGCCTAAGCCTGAAGAACTACTGCTTGATCACCACCCTCCGCTGTTTGCTCCCTTGGGAGGTTTTTCATTCAGAGGGATAACTGATTCACTCTTGAGATCCCAAAGCTCATAGCACAAGGTGCTACACCTTGTAATACAGAAAAGGGGAAGAACCACAGCTGGATGGGGAGGACTGGCTTTCAAGTGCTCAGTGCCCAATGCTCTTCAGCTGTGCTGAGGTCTCTTGGTAGTAGTCATTAGTTTCCCCAGCAATAAGGTGATGATTCAGTTGGCCAGGCCCCTTGCTCACCTATGTTGCTGTAGATGAGATCTCCTGGACTGCTGGGCTGGGAAAAGCTGCCAGCATCTGGGTCTTGCACTGAGGAGGATGCTTTATCAGAGCCAAGGGAGCTTGGATCAGCACTGCCGCTGCTAGAAACGGACCCACCCGTTCTTCTGATGCTCGATCTGCAGGGAGGGAACTGAGAGGTGAGGGCCAGGTGCAGGCAGAGCATCCTACTCCTTGGGAAGCAAAGTGTGAGAGAAGGGGAATCGGTGGAGTCGGTGTTGCCTGGGACCCCTTCAGTGGGCATGCACCAACCACGGAGGTGGGGAGTGGAAAGACTAGTTGTTTTCCCATGGTCTGTGTGGCTTCTCTTCCCCCAGGTGGCAGCATTGCCCCTTGTTCCACGCTCCGTGGCCCCAGCCATGCAGCCTGCCTGGGGCAGTGGCTGGTTCCTGCTCACCTTCTCTTGCTCATGCTCCCCCGGTAGGGTGCTGGGCCCCTGCGCTGTGATCTCCACTTCGTTTCTCATGTGGCTGCAATAGTGTGTCAAGAGGGGTGTGCTTGTGTGACCGAGGACACAAGCAGAGGCGAGAAGGGTGGTGTCTCGCGTTCCTTCTCTGCCCCTTCGATGGGGCAGAGTCATGGTTGGGTATTGGAGGCTGCACTGAGGTTGGCAACAGGGAAGGTGGGGTTGGCCCTATATCTATTCTGCTTTGGGAGTGCAGAGGGTGGCCTTTGGTGATGCTGGCTGGCAGCATGGATAGGCACTGACTCCTGCCAGGTGAAAGCCGTGAACTGCTGGAGCCCTCACCCACGTTGTGCGAGTGAAGCCAGTACACAATGGACAGTCCCTTGTCCTCATTCCTGTGCATCACACTCATTATTAAATGGATGAAAGGAGGATGGGATTTGGGGCGCTTAGAGACATCCAGCCCTAAATATCACAACAAAAGATCTGAAGTCGGATAAGGACCCACCTGAAAGAAATAAGAGGAGGAGGGCTCCGCAGGCCAGCGTAAGGTGAGAAGAGAGACAAGAAAGCATTTAGGGGAGATTAAGAAGGTCGTTAAGGTGAGAAGCATGAAGGAGTCAGCACAGCCACCAGCCAGCTCCGAGTCTCAAAGTGCTTTCAGTTCCTGGTCGTGGTCTGGGTGTCTCATGTCCTGTTTTGTCTGCTTTTGTAACCGTGAGACTGAACACTCTCAAGCCCTGCTGCTTTCTTTGAAATCAGTCGGCTCCTAAATCCTGCAAACGCTCTTCAACGAGCTAGGTCAGAACCGCCCATGGGGTTACACCAGGGATATGTTTGTCCCATGACGGTGTCTTTTTTTTAAAGCAGCCCATAACTTAAGAGGCCTTTAAATGAAGCTCCTTGGGCTCCAGGAGTGACCTGGAGCAGTTCCCTGGCAGGTTCAATAATTGACTCGCCACCAGCTGCTCCCTCCTTGCAAGCTTCTGTGCAAGCAGCTCCCCTGGGGGATTGTTTAACAGGGATTCGAGGGAAAAAGATGCTTTGCTAAACCAGAGGAAGTGCAGCTAGGGCTGTTAGACCACAGGTGCCAGAGGCGCTGTGAGCAGCTCCCTGGGGACCCAGCCTGGGGCTTCCCACTCATTAAATAGGGGCAGTTCTCCCAGGCCTCAGGCTTTCCACTTGTTAACCACCCCCTGGGTTCCCAGGCTTTCACCAGGCCAGGTGCTTCCAGGCCTCTGACTCTACACATTAACCCAGCTTGATTCATTGCCCTTTCAAAGAAAAGTATGCACCTGGGTAAACGGGCAGGCATCTCCAGGGATGCACACTTGGGGAAGGGTTGCTCCATGGGGAGAATATGTCCCTGGGGGACACTGACTGGCTGTATGACCACGGTCAAGTCTCTTGTCTCGGTGCTGCTTCCCGTCTGTGACATGGGGTTTAATGAGGAGGGCTTAGCACCGCAGGGCTTGTAGAGTGGTAGAGAAGTGCAAAGAGGTCTTCTCTGCACACGTGTGTGCTCATGCATGACCCAGCACAGTGTTCGGAGAGCTTTCTGTGCGTGTGTGCGACTATCATGTGCAAACTCGCCCTGTGACTGACTATCCGACCTCTCCACGAATCCCTCCTGCCTGCCTTAGCAGCGAATGGCCCTCGGTGTCCTAGACCTTCACCTCCTTTATTTCATGCCGGCTATGTCATTTCTGGGTGCTGCTCAGTAGGAGACTCCAGGGTGGTGGGATAAGGGGAGGGTATTACCCTAGGGATAAGACTAGCAATGCAACCCCCTGGGGTGGCAGGGTTGCAGAAGCAGACAGGCATCAAGGCTCAGCAGCTGAAAAATTGGCTGGAGACAGGAAGCTGCTCAGAGCTAATGAGGGCGGTTCTGCCACCCACCTCCTGAGCTGATGAAGAGGTCCCACAGATGCTTCCTTCCTTTATTTGCTGGAAGGTAAAAGTGTGAAGGGCAAAACCCTGGTGCTATTTGAACCAGCCACCTTTTGATTCTGAACCAAGGCACTGGGCTACTTTGATCTCGAGTCCTGGCTGAGCTGGCAGTGACCAAAGGTGGCTGCACTCCACCAAGTGAGTTTTATTGACTCCACATCCGCCTCCAGTGGGCATGTGTCCACTTCACAGCTCCTTCCCCTCCCACCCAAAATTGACTCTTGAGACAGATGGGCTTCAATCACAAAGTTCATATCCCAATCTGAGCCACCCACTAGTGTCGGAGAGCATAGGTATACGGTTTCAGTACAGCCCTAGCATAGAGATAGCTATATACTGCTATGATGGGACATAATGTGCTATTTAAAACTCTCTAAGTACATCTGTGGCCATGTTGGAGTGATGTTGTAGCTGAGATGGTCCAGGAAATATGCAAGAGGCAAGGATTTTTGTGGACGATTATCTCTCATTGGACCAGCTGCACGGTTTCTGTACGTACTTTTAGGCCATAGGAGCACAGCCAGAGACCTGGGGTCTGCTCCTGCCTCTGCTGCTGAAATGCTTAGTGACCTGCAGTGAATCACTAAACATTTTTATGCCTCAGCTCTCCCATGGCTCAGCAGAAAGAGTTGCTCCACAGAACAGACATGGAGCCAAGTTCACCAGCGTCTAGATACAGGGCTCAAACTCGGTCCTTTAAAAAGATTGGCTTAATCCTGATCCTGTGGATAAAGGCTCGGGGATGGATTCTGACAACCCCAAAGTTTAGGGATGTTTGGGTCACGTATGTAGGCAGACGCACATCTCTGATCTTTTCCTTCTTTTTTTTCAAAGCTCATATTGCAAATGCCTCTTCCTCCCTCCCCTCCACCTTTGTCTGCTGCTATCAATTCATGAAAGCATGGGGCTTACACTCTCTGGATTCAGGACACGCTTTGTCCAGGAGTTGGCAAGCCCCTGAAGCATGAGTAGAGTAGGAAAACCTGTTACCTTTGCATCTTCCCTGGGAGGGGTGGGGGATCCGCTTGCTCAGACTCGGCCATCTCCTTCTTTTCCAAAATGATCTGCGCTCTGTGCTCTGTGCTGTGCATCTCGTTGGCCAGAGCTTCGGTTTCTATTACATTCTCACTCCGAGATGGCTACTGACTGGGGAATTATATGCCAGTTTTCCAGGAGAAGGGCCCGGCGGGTATTAGACCTCGGGAGGGCTGCGCAGCTGTGGCAGAGTGCTGGATGCTGGGAGAGCTTGCGCCCATCTGTCAGGCGGAGGCTGCTATGGGGAACCGGCTTTCACAACACTTTGCATAACCACTTTGCTTACAAGAGGATGTTCTTTTGAACTAGGTTTCAAAACCTCTTACTGCATTAAAGGAAGCCAGGGGTTAAAGTCATCCTTGGTGTCACGCTCCTCGTTAATGGAGTTACTCCAGGGGTCACTCTGCCTACATAGGTTTGTGGTAACATTTATGCTGCTTGCACCATATCAAAAGATCAAAATGAAGGGTATTACAAATGTACTGTACATTGCTGCAATTCGTGAAGGGCATGGAGTGGTTGGTTTTCTGTTCTGGTTTTCATGCAGTAGCTATTCCCAGTGTAGCAGATGCAGGGGTCAAGTTTTTGTCTTTGTTTTAAATTACTATTATATATTGGAACTATTTCCCGGGAGATCTTTAGGAGGCTGGAGATCCGGAGCAGAAGTCAAGGGGGCCTGGTGAGTCTTTAACACAGACAGCCCTTCTCGCATGTGTTTTCAAGCATTTGAGTTAAATTGGCATCAATAAAAGCATATGACAAAAGCATTAGGGCAGGGGTGGGCAAAATGCGGCCCGCGGGCCAGATGCGACCCACCAGCCCGTGGGGCCCCTAAACAATTTAGAAAATTAAAATTAATCTGCCCTGGGCTGTCTGGCATGCGGCCCTTGATGGCTTACTAAACTCAGTAAGCCGCCCTCTGCCCAAAATAATTGCCCGCCCCTGCATTAGGGGCTGTCTAAGCTAAGAGAAAGGATGCGTTTGCTTTAAAGCCCTGGTACAAATGGGACAAATTTGTGTCTTAACAGACATTCGCCGGTCCTACATGTTATCTCCTTTTGTCATGCAAGCTTTGACTTGCCAGTGGCGGGGCCTGAGAGTGATATGCTGCTGCTGGATTTACTAAGGAGCTGGATAATGCTGGCCAAAGAGGTGACCTTTGCAGAGAGGCCTCAGGCTCTAGGGCACATACTGATCGCTTGCAGGGGTTTGGGCAAATAGCTGGAAAAAAAACAACTTTGGGCAACATTCATATATTCCCACAGGCTGATGCATTAATTTCCAGAAGAGGATCGTGGGATCTGCCTCGCCAGATCAGACCAGGTGGTTTTTCTAACCCACTAGTCTGTTTGTGGTAGGGGATAGTAACAGGGAGCTCAAAATAGGTTCTGGAAACCCTGAAGATGAAGTTTGATGCGGACTACAGAAATAGTTTCTTCCTGTCCCCTTAGTTAAGATTGGCTGGTGCCCTGAAGCACACGGATAGATGGTCCTTTCAAATGTAAAACATCCCATCTGTATAAATGACTATCTGTATTTTCCAGATCCCAGTTCAATACTTTTCTGCTAAATGCTTGGCCTCAGTGACAGCTTGTGGTAATTAGTTCCACAGGCTTTGCACGCTGTGTGAAAACATCCTCTCTCTTTTGGGTTTAATTCAGTTCCCTCGTTGACTTCTCTGGTTCTTGTTCTGCGAGACCATAAATCCAACTCCCTTCTCAGTATTGCATTGTGAAGGCTTTCACCGTATCCCCTTTTACTCACTATCTCTCTGTATAGTCTCCAATTCTCTCTCCATTCAGACTGTGCTCCTTGTCCAGCCCTGGCCAGCTGACCACGTCTGTTAGGAGGAGAGTTTTCTGCTGGTCTTGGAAACATCTGGCACTGGGTGGTGAAGGAGGTAGGACCAATTGGTCCGTCTAGTTTAGACCCGGGGTTCCCAAAGTATTGTACACATACCCCTGGGGGTTTGCAAGACATCACTGTGTAATGGCAGATATAATTTTCATTATGATAATTGGCATTTACCGGGTTAAAATAGAAAACAGGCTGGTAGGGGTACGCAGGTAGCTGGTAAGTTTAGACATGGGTACACAATAAGGAAAAGTTTGGGAACCTCTGGTCTAGACCCATCGATGCAGTCACTTGGGCGATTCCCTCAAACCCTTCTGAACAGCGGATAGATGCCGCATCGCTCTGTGCCAGCTGCTTTCCATAACCAAATTGAATGATAAGGAAGGGCCTTCAGCTGATGGCAGACAAGAAGGGATTGGCACACGGACATTAGTAGCTCAGCCAAATGTTAATGCTAATGCCTCCAGCAAAATCAATGGAGTTGCTGGAGAGGCCCATTCATTTTGCACTAGAAGCCAGTATGTCCCAGTATGCATGCTTGCTTTAGCACGGGCTCCCTTGCTAATAGCCGAAATGAGCTACATCCTGCCCTGTAGTCCAAACAGCAGCTGTCTGGGCATCACCATCTTTCCTCCTTGCTCTAGTGATTAAGGCTAACACTCTAATAAAATATTACCATCCCAAATTATAATTCCCAATCATCCTGCATGCTGTGTTTGGCTAGATTTCCACGATGGATGTAGTGAGATGAGCAAAATTAATCACTCCGTGTAAATAATGAGGGGAACAGCATTTACTAAGCTGCGGCTTATTTGTAACCGCACTGGCACTGTGCACTGTACACTGGCAACCGCACTAATGGGAGAGCTGTGTAATATTTGTCACACAGCAGTGTCCCTGTGCCACTCATCTCCCAGGAGGCTGTTGCCATGCCCCTGTCCTATGGGCGCCAGTGAGCCCCAGTGGTCGTGAACACGTTTGGGCTTTCACTATTTATAGAGCGCAGGGTTTCCAGGTGCAGACAGCCTGGTCGGCATGAAATAACTAAATCCTAAACATTTTGCCCCAAGCACTTGCACCTTCTCTCCAGACTGTAACTCGGCCCTGAAAGCAAGGACATGCACAACCTCTGAAGTTTCAGTTTGAATCTCCCACTTCCTCCTGCAGCAATGCGTTTAATGCAGAAATGTCCTGATAAGAGGACGGATTGTATTGCCTGTCCCAGTTCACACGACATGAGTCGAGATTCCACATATGAATCCCGCTGCGGGTCGGGAAGTGTTCAGCATCTCAACAGGGAAGTGCAGAGTTTTGCAGGATTGGACCTCAAGGTTTCTATATAAAATTGAAGATCTGTTTTAGACCAGAGAGACACACCAGGGCTGTGCAGTCCATCCAACCCTGAACATGAACACACAGAGAAATGGGGTTCTCTGCTGGTGCTTGGAAAAATGGTCTGAGGTTCTGCTAGTCGTTGTCCGAGTTTTAAATTAATAGATTCATAGATGCTAGGATCGGAAGGGACCTCAACAGATCATCAAGTCCTTGATCACTAGCTTTGGGAAAAATCCAGATGCCTGCTTTTCTTGTAGGACTTTAGGGCACACATTGGATAAATAACACCAGGAAAGAAGCTGCTTAGGGCACTTGCACAGTGTCAATTAGATTCATTGATTCATAGATTGTAGTCAGAAGGGACCACAATGGATCATCGTGTCCGACCCCCTGCCCCTGGCAGGAAAGAGGACCGAGGTCAGATGACGCCAGCCAGGTGACTATCTAGCCTCCTCTTGAAGACCTCCAAGCTGGGCGATAGCACCACCTCTCTTGGAAGCCCATTCCAGATCCTGGCCACCCTTACTGTGAAAAATGTCTTCCTAATATCTAACCTAAATCCACTCTCAACTAGTTTACACCCGTTATTCCTAGTCACTCCCTGGGGTGCCCTAGTAAACAGCGCTTCCCCTATTCCCCGCTGACCTCCCCTAATAAATTTATAGGCGGCCACAAGATCTTCCCTCAGCCGTCTCTTGTGAAGGCTGAAGAGATTCAGCTCTCTCAACCTCCCCCCGTAGGGTCTATCACGAAGGCCACTAATCACGCGAGTGGCCCTCCTCTGGACCCTCTTGAGATTCCCCGTGTCCCTCTTGAAGTGCGGCACCCAAAACTGGACACAGTACTCCAACTGCGGCCTGACCAGTGCCGCATAGAGGGGGAGCATCACCTCCTTTGATCTATTAGTCATGCACCTGCTAATGCACGACAAGGTGCGATTGGCCTTGTTGATGGCCTCGTTACACTGCCGGCTCGTGTTCATCTTGGAGTCAATTATGGCCTGTACAAATGTGTTCTTTGATTATTTTCTCTAGCATTTTCCCAGGAATAGAGGTAAGACTGACTGGTCTAAAGTTACCTGGCTCATCCCTTCTCCCTTTCTTGAATATGGGCACCACATTGGCCCTTCTCCAGTCCTCAGGGACCTGGTCGGAGCACCACGAGTGCTCGAACAGTTGTGCCAGCAGCTCAGCTATGACACTGGCCAGTTCTTTCAGCAGCCGTGGATGGAGGTCATCTGGGCCTGCTGACTTGTACCCATCCAGCTCCTCCAGGAGCTCCTTAACTATTTCAGAACTAATTAGTGGAGTATCTATTCTAGCCTATATGCTAGGGCTGCTGTGGCTTACATGGGTAAGCTCAGGGCTATTTAAAATCCATCCTGCATTCAGAATACTTTTGTTTGAGAGGGCATAATCGGTGTTATTCATCCAAGACCGGTGCATATAACTGCTTTACATTGCTCTCAGTTGGTAACTCAATGCAGAGCCAAGGATAAGCAGGTCTGACACCAATAAAAGCAGAGCTCCACTTGGTCTCTCAGTGGTAGATGCAGTGTAGTGGCATGATAATGAGTGATGGAGCTAGCATTACTGCTCTCTCTTCTGTCCCTGGCCAGGGGATAGAGTCCTTCTGTCCTGAGAGCTGTCAGTCCAGCCCCTATCGTCAGGACTTAATTCCTCAAAACAATGGAGAGCAGCAAATCAATGAGCTTTTCCGGCTGGACTTTGTGCACAAACCCAGAGCTTTGAGCCCTGTTGGTGTTACTTTCTGCCCACTGCTTGCTTAACCAGATCTCTGCCTAATGCATTAAAATCGGAGTTGCAACAGGACTCACAGTCAATGCAATTTTGGGTATGTAATATGTCTGGCTAGTCAGATTCCCCAGCCCATGTAAGGGTTTGATCCTGCTCCCAGTGGTGCGACTGGAACTGATTTCCCTTGCCCTTAATACTAATAGCAATTGGATGGGTCACCTGCAGAGTAGCTTTGCAAGCTGTTTTGAATGCTGTTTCCTGGTTGC